GAGAATAGGAGGGGGTGGACATGGTTGGGTGCCGAAGCCCTGTTCCAGGGTTGGGGTGAATGAGAAGGGAGGGGAGGGGAGGAGGGAGAGAGAAGTTCCTCATAGCCAAGCTGCCTCCCTCCATTCTGATTCCCTCGGTAACAGCCCATCTTTTCACCTCCCTCTGCAAAGAGGGAAGAATATGTTTGTGTGTGTGTGTGGGGGGGGTGTTTTCCCTTCCCCATTAACCTTTATAAGAGTCAGGGTGGCATGTCGGGCGCAGTAGGCACCGGGGAGGGGCAGCGGCCCTCTGAAAATCCTATTATAGTTTCCTCCCATCCCAAAATCCACTCAGCAACGTCAGGGGCATTCCTTGGAGAAGAAAGAGAGCCAGGACCCAAACAGACCCCTTTGCAGAATTTGTTGATAACTGTATGCTCTCCAGGGGGTGCAGGAAGGGCCAACCCCACCCCACCCCCCGAAGAAGGAAAAGCCTGCCCAGCTTGTTCCTCATCCCTCTTCTGACTGCTTTCCCGGAGCCGGGCCCAGCGGGGCTGCCCGTGAGCAGGGAGCCTTCCCTGGGCTGTGCGCCTCTGGCTCACCTCCCACTAAGACAGCCTCTCCTAACCAGGCCGGGTCCTCCTCCATGGGGGGTGGGGGAGAGAGGCTGGCACAAGAAGTAAGGCGTCCTGCTACAGCAAACCTGGAGATTCTTGTGGCATCTCGAATGGGGGCTGCAGTCCCCCCCCACTTCTCCTCCAGACACAGATCTCTGTGGGGAGGGGGAGGCATTACTTCAGCCCCCACAAGGGCAAGAAATCACACTGGTCTTTAAGGGGCCACCAGACTCTCTCCTGCCCAGATTTACCACAAGCAGAAGGGAGCTGTTCCAGGTACTGATGTAATCCCAACTGGAGTGTGTGCATTTGTGGGGGAGAAAGTAATAGAAAGCAATGCAAATTTCAAAGAGAAGAACCATGCAAATCCCCCCCCCTTTTTTTATTTTATTTTTTATTTTATTGTTTAACCGAGCAATAAGTTAAACACAAGTCGCTGAAATCCTTGCTTTGGTTAGTCCCTGCTACAGTCAGACTCACTGGGTCAAGAGGAACCAGGGAGCTCAGCCACCATGGAAGTTGCCTTGATCCAGTGGGTCTCCTCTGCATGGGCCTTAGGCCAGGCTTTCCAAACATGCTACAGATGGAGCTAGGCTTGTTTGGGGGCATCTCCTGAATAATCTTGAAAATGGCACTTGCTTTGGGTGGGTGGGTTGGTTTTAGTTCTGCAGCTGCTACCAAGACAAGCGAGAGAGAAGGGGACGTGCAGGAGGTGATGAGGGAGAAAGTGAGGAGCTACACTTGAGAGGCCGGTAGAGCCTGAGTGGGTGGACAAGCTGGACGAGGCTTAAGGGGGCAGGAAGCCCGGTGGCCGCCTGAGAAGCGATACTGCATTTCTGGGAGCCCAAGGGGGAGTCTGTGGCTGGAGGGGCCGATAGACATGCTGGGGCCAGCCGGGAGGAAGGTGTCCAGCCTCAGCCCCAGAGAAATGGGTGGGTGGGTGGGAGGTGTTGCGCAAGAGGAGGGTCTGCGGGATTGTGCCCCATTTTACCGTGCCTGTGTGTGTGTGTGTGTGTGGTGAGAGAGAGAGAGAGAGAGAGAGAGAGAGAGAGAGAGAGAGCCCACCTGTTTTATTTAGGGAGGGTACAGTTTGGAATTCTTCTGCTGTGGGCTGCAAAAGGTCTCCGTATCAAGTGGGGTGTAGGAGCATTTTGCCAGGCTGAGGAATCAGGTCTTTGAATTTGGGCTTTTTAAAGAAGTGTTTTGCTCATTTAAAGAAGTTTCCGCCTTTGAATATCCCCTTTTTCTGCTTCTCATCGAGTTGGAAAACCTTGTTGGAAAATCGACACATGCACTTTTCTCCCAGGGACACCCTGCTGCCTTTTCTAGGTCAACACACTTGCTTATCAAATTTTGTATCGTCGTTGTTTTGAAAATGTCTATTTATATAGTGATACAAGTGCTTTTTAATTTAAGGGTGGGGGATTCGCTCGGCCCCCTCTGAATGGGTACTACTTGGCTAGGGTGTTTGTTTTTAAGTGTCCCCTTTCCAGCCTTGTAAATAAAAGCGTACAAATTAGCTGCCTCTTTTGTACGGATGCCTTTCCTTTTTGTAACCTCATGAGGTGGCCATAAAATCAGCTTATAATAGGATGAGCTGCTTTCTTTTGTTAATGTGGAATTTTTTAAAAGAAGGAGAGAACCCAAGAGGAAATAAAGAGGAAACTTTTGACCAACATGCTTGGTGCTTCATCTTTCTTAGCAAAAACTGCTGGGTGAATGTTTCTGGCATTACTGAGTTCAACGGTGAATGTCACAGCTGTGACAAACATATGGCTTTGTTTAAAAAACTTCTCTGCTTCTTGTGTCTATTTGTTTTAATTTTTTTAAAAAAATACCACCAGTCTGATGAAGAGTTCTGAACAATTCAAAAGCTAGCAAACATGGATTAAATGCTGGCGGCAGGTCTGTGGAGGTGGGGGGGCGGGGGTTATGGCAGTTGTACTCCCCAAAGGATAACTTCTCCAAGCGCAGGGCAGAGCCCTATCTTCTCCCTGTCCGCACCCACGGGAATAACCTTGGCCCGGTCTGGCGCGGAGGGCTGTTTATATAGTTCGTTTATTTAAAACATTTTTACCCCGCCTTTCTCTTTAAAAGGGACTCAAGGCGGCTTACATCCTTGAAAGACAATACCTAAAGCGGAAAACGATGAGTATACGCCCGTGGTTTACATCATTAAAAGACAATAAAGTTAAAACTATAGGGATGCAAATACTAAAAAAGAGCACACCAGTCCCACTCTGAGAGACGGGAAACGCAAGGCCGGCTTGTTGCGCGGAGCGTCGTGGAGCGGTCAGGCGCGCAGAAGTGCCCGGGATGAGCCCCCGCCGGTTC